GTTAATTTGTCAGATGCTTTAACTGACCACTGAATATAGGAAGACTGAAATCCACCAGAGTTCAAATCCACTATTGATGTTTATTTGTCAGATGCTTTAACTGACCACTGAATATAGGAAGACTGAAATCCACCAGAGTTCAAATCCACTATTGATGTTTATTTGTCAGATGCTTTAACTGACCACTGAATATAGGAAGACTGAAATCCAGCAGAGTTCAAATCCACTATTGATGTTTATTTGTCAGATGCTTTAACTGACCACTGAAGCCATTCAGATTTATTTGGCAAGTATATCTTGAAATCTGGAAGACTCAGTTTCCACTGTAATGATTAAGTTGTTTGTTATGAATTTCATGCAAAGCTACATGAGGGCTATCTGCGCTAGCCATCCCTAATTTAGCAGTGTAAAACTAGAGGAAAGGCAACTAGTCATCACCACCCACCGCCAACTCTTGGGCTACTCCTTTACTAATGAATAGTGGGATTGACCACCACATTATAACATAACCACGGCTGAAAGGGCAAGCATGTTTGGTGTGACGGGGATTTCAACCCACAACCCGCAGATTGTGAGATGAGCACCCTACCCTCCTGGCCAGGCCGAGCCTCAATAATTAGTAAGGATGAAATTTGGAAGAACTCTTGAGCTATGCCAATTAGTTTGTGAAGCTAAGTTCCTTTCTAATTAATGAAGTGAACATTGAGATTTGTTGAACTTGGGGTGTGGTAGCATTGTTGGTTAAGTACAGTCAGAGACCTCAGATCTGCCCAGTCTCAGTTCCACTTTTTCAGAAACATTCATCAGTACAGTGTGTCACCCTGCTAGTTTCAATTGTTCCAGAATTGGAACAAAACATATGGAAGACTTTTTACGGAGATTTCACGCAAGAAGAAAATATAAACTTATTTCATACAAACCAGAAGTAAAGTGTACATGCTTAGAGCTCAATTACTCTTACTCCATCGTCAATAATTTATAAACTGATGTTTAAAACAAACCACTGTAAAATATGTGGAAAACCCAATTCAAACAGTGATCTGAAAGAAGCACAATCAAGGATACTTATAAATAATCAGGGAAATCAAAGCAAAACTATAACCTGGAATATAAGTAAAGCATATGTTATAATACAGATAAATTTAACAAACCATTTAAGTTATCAGCACTGAAAATCACAATGTAGAATTTTATGGAAAAAATCTGCATTTATTGATATAGGTTTATCACAACATCAAACTAGGTTCTTTTTCATGAAGTATAACATACATGGTTTTTTACCTCACATTACTTAGATTCTTTTTCAGTTGATATTGACCAAATTTATAATTACTTCTTGGGGTCAAAAATTTAAGTGAAGCTAAATGATTTATTGAAAATAAATAAAGACAGACATACAAACTAGGTTGAAATAAAATGGCTATATTACATTTTTCAGATGATAAACAAAAGAAACTGTACCTGAACTCTGGATCCAATTTCACTGATGACAATATAGAATCTAAGAGGGAGTCTTTTCCAAGTAGAGCATTAGGTAACCTTAAGGGAGATGTTTTTTCATTAACTGGACTCTGTCCTTTTGTGGTTGATGGTTCTGTACCATTAAAGAGATGTAATTATTTACATTTCTGATTGAAAAAAACAGTAAAGTTTTTACAATAAAATGTTATACACGAGTTGATAGCAAATAGTAAAAGTATGAGAACTTTCATCCACCATAATTGGTTTATATTTATAACTATTTAAAGCAACTAAGGAAATTTATAATAATATCAATTGTTGAACTAGCATTTTAATAAACCAGGAGTGCAGTCTGCCAAACAAAACACAAAGCTACTTGTTGATGTGAGAAACACAAAACCATACTCAGTGTGTTTCCTAATTTTTCAGAAATATAAAATTATGTTTAAGTACATTTCTGTTTTACTCCCAGAAGATCAATTTGTTTAGTATAGTAAGTTTTAGAACCACAGCCAGTACAGTCTGGAAGTTTTATCATGCTACATCTATGCTGAAGTATATCTAATACATACTGTATGAGAAATATGTATTTTACACAAGTTTCTCCACAATGTATTGTAACAATACAAGGATGAATGCCTAGGTTTCACAGTCCCTTCTTCTATTATTGATGGGGTTCTGTGTAATGGCCTTGACTATGGACTAATGCTGTGCGGCTTAATTTCTACTGAAGGAGGCTTTTGGGCAGTATACTAAGGCCTTTCTCTTTATATGCTCTCAAAGTTCAACAACAGCACACAAAGACTTCTGAGGATTTGTATGAGCAACCCAAAGCCACAAAAGTAGATGAGTGAATTCTAAAAATGGTATAGCAAGAATTTCAGTTCGTATTTGCAACCTTGCAGAGGAATTGGTTTGGATGTTTGGACACATACTTTGGCATCTAGTCCAACAAAGATGGTATTTCCTTGCAATTGGCTTGGATGTGTTGGCACATGTTTTGGCAACCAATGAAAGAAAGATGGTATTTCCTTGTAATTGGCTTGGATGTATCAGCACACGCTTTGGTATTGAGTCCAAGAAAGATGGTATTTCTTCAATACTGGCTTGGATGCATCAGCACATTTTGGCATCTAGTCCAACAAAGATGTTACATACTTTGGGAAAAGTTTGTGAACACAGTTCTTCAGTCACTTTTGCAGACATAAATCCATGTGAATTATCCTGTTAACAACCAAGGAACGTTTCTATTTTAGTCGTGTTTTTTGGGTGCTTCTGGGGCAAAGAAGCTTAACCTTATTCACTATTTATGGTTGCAACTGATGGCCAATTTTGCAGTAGCCAGTTTTTTATATTCTGCAATAACATTGCCTTTGCTTTATCACTGTTCCATACCAAAAAACATCACTTTCTTCAAAATGCTCAAATTTCTAGCCTAGCTTTCATGTTCTAATGTAACACTTTAAGAATGAGTCACTTTTAGATGCCATCTGTATTTGCATACATCTCCATACATCAATTAGATATCAACAACTGGATGCAGGGTAACAATTTTAACACTACCAGTGATGAGATGCTTGTTACAACAGATCATGACTATCCCTCTGGATTATAGTACAATGACATCATACTTTTATACACAGTGAGTCCTCTTTTATACCAATGCATTTGTAATAAACCATCTCTCCCAGATTATTGACATATCGGGATGGTTGAATCAGCCACTTTGGTTACAATGAACACTATTAGTAGCACACATTGTTGATCAATAAATCTGATGGTGCAAATAACATAAGCATGCATCTGGTAAACAAAATGTAACTGTACCTACAATAAACTCTTCAGTGTATCATTTTATACCTCATCAAAAATATTCAAATTGGATAATCACAAATGTATATTGTCATTATCTTCAATGAAATCATCATCTCATTCAAACCAAACTTACAAGACACAAAATCTATAGTATTTTCCAAATACGCAACAAATCACTTTCCAAAGAAAGATGTAATCAGTATGCTTTTGAAATTACATTTTTTTTATTTACATTCCTCAACAGCTCCAAGTAAATAACACATGATGGCATCATCTTCCCATATATCACCATTTTATTTGAACCTTGTGGTGATGTCTTTAAGGCTAGCTGTTGCTTCATTCAGAATGATTGACTAACAATACCTGGTGGATCATTTTTGAAGTCAAATTCACTGTTATCACTTTCTTGATGAGACACAATGGAAATGATGTCTTCATCTGACAACTCTTGGCTAGTTGGTTCTAATGATTCAATCCTTATCAATACCTGCAGTGATCACATTTCTATCAACAGTTGCTACTTCCCCTTCCAACTTTATTACAAAGTGTCCACTGATATGTTGTAGCCATCCTCTGGAGTATCCAAACTCTGTTACACCAAGTTGCTGTTCATGTTCATTAATTTCATCACTAACACATTTCTCGATGTCAAATCACACATACAAAGATACAGATTTGTTCCATGTTTGCAAGCTTTGAATGTCTTTGACGTGAATCTTCTGGAATATTTATCCATTTTACTATGAAGAGCATCAGATGTAATCCACTTGTCCATGAGAACATTTTTTTTCTATACTGAAATACCTATTTATGGCATCACGGCTTGAACTCAGATTTCCTTTCTTGTACAAACAAACATCACACATCAGTGACACTGATATTTCTACATCTTCCTTTTGAAACATTATGACTTGACATCTGGATATCTATTATAGTTTATACATACATTCTTACTGTGAGGATCATTCTCAGAAAAACTGTCATACACTGAGACCACTGCAAGAGCTGGTGGTCAGTAATTATCACCTTGTTTCCTATCCAGTTGATCCTTACTTGGTCATGGAGAGATGCAGATTAATGAATTGCGTATCCATACTTGTTATCAGATTAATGAATCATGTATCCATACTTGTTATCAGATTAATGAATCATGTATCCATACTTGTTATCAGATTAATGAGTCATGTATCCATACTTGTTATCAGATTAATGAATCATGTATCCATACTTGTTATCAGATTAATGAATCATGTATCCATACTTGTTATAAGAAATATAATTTTGGTTCTCGAATGTGAATACAGGGATTAATGAATACATTTCCCATTGTGAAGATTTTTCTATGTGCAAAAATCATCTGAATTATGAATAATACAGATTGTTAATGCCAGGCTAGCAAGGTTTCACTGTACAATTTAGACATTTAAAAATATTTTTGCTGTAAAATTGTGATTTTAGTTATGAATGTATATACAATTAGGAAAGTTAATTCATCATGCCCACAGAAACAATTCAGAAATCTCTTTCAATATATTTGTTTTTTAATGACAATGTACATGTGCATTCTAGTAAACTAAATGTCACAAACATTTACACTCAGGAAGTATAGCTACTATAATGTAGAAACTTATTTATTCATTACAGTAAATATTTTAATTTTGGTACATATAATGCACTTATTACAGTATCTTTCTGCTCTAATTGTCTTCACAATTATTAATTATTATAGATTATTTATGATTTATTAACATGCAATGCTGGGAACTTTATTTCATTACCTACCATTTACTTTCATTATGAGTAAAGAATTAATCATACATTAATGACTTTGCGCTTAAGTTATTTCTAGATTCTAAAAAATTTATTCATTGCAGTATGTTTATGATTTTAAGTTAATTCAAAAATCTGAAAAACTTAGCTAGTTAACCCAGTTATACTTCAGTTACTGTAGTTCTTACAGTTGTTTATCAAATCTAGTTCCAGAACGAGTAATACAACTTCCTCATAACAAAGATGGATAAGTTTGTATAATTTCTGACCAAATGGACACTAGATATATCTTTTCTGGATATTCTTCTTTCAGTTTGCTGTTGGTTATCATGGTTTGAAATTAGCAATAGCTAATCAAGGAACAAGAATATGAATATTCAGACTAATTTAAACAAAAGTAAAAAATATCAATAAAATAGATTGAACTGCAACCAAAAACTTATCACAAACTGAAACATATCTAAAATTTGATAGCATATTAGTGAGTATAGAAGGCTAGGCTGCAATGCCAAAATATTAAAGTAATAGCAATCCTTTTTTTTTAGCCACAGCATAGCAGCTCATAGATCAGCTCAAAGTTTCTTTTTTTTCAAGGACAAACTTTTAGCTCATAGCTCTGTCATCTCTTGATCATTTTCAGGATTAATTACAGTTTTGGGACCCAGGAAGTCAAACCCTTTCCATTGATGTATTTGACCATGCTCAAGGCCTAATAGATTAATTAATTTACTCTAATCTTGCCTTAAAGAATTTCAATTTGAGGGTAGGCTGGTAGAGATCCTGATGAGTAATAAAACTGAAATGGGTATATGTGTGACCTACACTTTATATTGCTGGTGCACAAAATATAGCTAATAAAAAGGGTAAAAAAAAAGGTCTCATTACTTTACTCAAATCCTGCCTAAAAGAATTTCAACTACTGCAGCTATTGAGGATTCCCTCTTGTTATATTAAATACATAGTTAAGTTTTGTGTATTCAAATACATAAAACAAAAAACACCCATGGTCCACAAGGGGTTAAAAAAGATATGGAATCAAAAATTCAACACTTCCCAGAAATAATAATCCACATCAGCTGAATAGTTATATCTTGTTAAAAGCTAGTTCGTATGGCTTAAACATTGCTTCACAAAGACCAGTTTTTATAAGATTATGCAACTCATTAATCACTTGTTTTGCTTGGTTTGCCAAGATTAATGGACTTGATATCCCAGAAATTTAATAAATGATACAAATGTCAAATCTATGAACAAGGTATTTAGACTTTCAGTTGTTCAATGTAAGTGTTTTGTTCCATGAGTTGTTTTTTAATTACAGAAAACACAGGCCTAGCTAAGTTATTTCCTATTTTTGGTTTTTATATTAATATTTGTATTTAACATAACTCATTTTTTTCTTTATTTAATTTCAAAATTTACTTATTTCTGTTTGTTCATTCATTCTTTTGAAGAATCAATTTATTTTTATTCATTATATTTTCCACTTCTTATTCTAGTTGAACATGTGATGAACCAATAACAACAACCAAAGCTTCTCCTGCCAATGTTTCAAAAATACCACCAACATGTAATGAACCAACAATAATAACCAAAGCTTCTCCTGCCAATGTTTCAAACATTCCATCAACATGTTGTGAACCAATAACAACAACCAAAGCTTCTCCTGCCAATGTTTCAAAAATACCACCAACATGTAATGAACCAACAATAATAACCAAAGCTTCTCCTGCCAATGTTTCAAACATTCCATCAACATGTAATGAACCAATAACAACAACAACCAAAGCTTCTCCTGCCAATGTTTCAAATATGCCATCAACGTGTAATGAATCAATAACAACAACTAAAGTGTTTCCTGCCAATGTTTCAAACATGCCATCAATGTGTGATGAATCAACACCACTGACAATCAAAGTTCCAGATATTGTTCCAAGCCCTTCAGTTTCCAAGACAGATTGTTATTCCTAATAGCTCTTATGAAAGGGTTGATAGTTACCTGCTACATTAAAACTGTCCACATATGGGATGTGGAGTTTAAAACTAACTGGTTGCAGTATAGTAGAAATACACGCACAGAAGATGCTGTTGAAACTATATGATGCCAAATATCCCAACAATACTGCACTGTATGTTCTTGGTACCAAGAATTTTAAAAATAACTTGGTAAAAGAGCACATGAAGTTTGATGCTGAGCCTACTGCACACTATTCAGTAAAAACAAGGGGAAAAAAGACAACAGATAGGGTAAAAAAAGTTCTGAGAATTTTATAAAGATTAAGAATGTGTTTAAGAAAGCCTTCTACATGGCCACCATATGTAAGGCTGTTTCCTGGCTTCCCAAAACTAACAGAACTGCAGACAGACAATGGCATCTTAATGGTCAGAGCCTACTGCATGTAGGACATTCATCACTGAAACTGCTGGTACTCTGCACAATGATTTACGACAACAATAACATACCTCTGATTTCTTTCTTTGATAATAGATGGTAGAACAACTAGAACTGGCACCAAAAAAAAAATAACTGTACGTGTCCAGACAGAAAAACTTTTGTTCTCATACTGCTTACTTCAAGCTTGTAAATGTAAAAAACATCAAACCTGAGGGTATTCTAAGGTTCTAGTTTTTACTGTTTTGTGAATATAAGTCCAAGATAGTAGACTTTGGGACAGCTGGTGTTAATTTCAGTATTAGACTTGGTGGGTACACTGCCGACAGCAGATATACCTTGACTTGTTCAAATGTACTGCATGACCCATAGTACAGCTGTTAACATTTTGAAACCCATCTACCTGGTCAATTAAATTTCTCCAAGTAGGCTCAGAGAAGTAAATGAAGTAGCAAAAATAATGGAAGATTACTTCTCTAAGCCTAGCAGAGTCTATACACAAAACAGATGCAGCATAAGCAAATCAAACTTTAAAGGAAAAACTGTGGATTTGGTTTACCTTGATTTTCAAAAAACATTTGATAAGGTGCCTCACAAAGGACTTGTTACAAAAATTAAATCAGTGGGTGTGGGGGAAATGTTATTAAATTGTATTGAAAATTAGCTGAAGAGTAAAAATCGGAGAGTAGTAATAAATGGAGTTAGATCTGATTGGATCACAGTTACAAGTGGTGTGCCTTGGAACTCTGTGCTAGGTCTTCTGCTGTTTGTGATTTATTGATATTGACTCTGGAATGACTAACAAAATTTTGAAGTTTGCAGTGACATTAAGATTTTTGGGGTGGCTAACTGTATCAAAGATGCTGCAGACTTACAGGGATATTTAGATCATTTGATGCATTGGGCCAATATGTGGCAAATGATGTTTAACTATCCAAAATGTAAGGTGATGCTTTTAGGTTTTCACAATTCAAATTATTGTTACAATTTAAATGGGAATACATTAAACACTGTGGTTGAAGAAAAAGATCTTGGTGTTGTGACTGAAAAATCAATTAAGTCATCTAAACAATGTATTGTAGCTATCAATAGGGCTAATAGGATTTTGGGGTAACATCTATAAAAATATTGAATACAAGACAAGGGATATTATATTGTTTCACTGTATAAATCACTTGTAAGGCCACATTTAGAGTACTGTGTACAGTTTTGGGCTCCCTTCCTCAAGAAGGACAAAGAATTGTTCGAGAAGGTTC